AATCACTTATACCTGGAATCTAACTAAAAAAAGTCAAACTCAGAGAAACAGAGGGTAGAATGATGGTTGTCAGGGGTTGGGAGGTAGAGGAAATGCGAAGATGTTGGTCAAAAGGTATAAGCTTTCAGTTATAAGATGAATAAGAACAGCATGATGACTAAAGTTAATAATACTGTGTTGTATACTTGAAATTTGTTAAGAGAGTAAATCTTAAGCATTTTCCCACACAAACACACAAAAATGTGAAGTGATAGGTATGAATTACCTTTATTGTGGGAATCATTTCACAGTGCATACATAGATCAAATCATTACACTGCATACTTTAAGTATATATAATGTAGTTATACCTCAATAAAGTTGGAAAACATTAATATTGATGTTATTTGTTTCTAATAATAGTTTCCACAATGGTTGAGTAGTCTCTTTTATGTATAAATTTATATCTTTCCTCTTCCTAAAGCTGATTTTAAATAGAATTAAATTGTTTTTATTTTTATTGAGGCATAATGTTCATATAATAAATCACCCTTTTTAATATAGTTCTGTAAATTTTGACAGATACATTACATTCCAGATACAGTAGTATTTATTCTATAATGTAAACTTATTATATAACTCAAAGTTTCTCATGCACGTTTGTAAACCCCTCTTCCAACCTTCAGCTCCTAGAAAGCACTGATCTGTTTTCTGACCCTAAGTCTTGCTTTTTCCAGAATGTCATGTAAATAGACACTGGCTTCTTTCACTTCCCATAATGCATTTGAAGTTTGTCCATGATGTGTATATCAAGAGTTTAATCTCTTTCACTGCCGAGTTTGATCAAATATCCCCTGGAGAAGAAAAGGGCAACCCACTCCAGTATTCTTGCCTGGAAAATTCCATGGACAGAGGAGCCTGGTGGGCTACAGTCCATGGAGTTGCAAAGAGTCAGACATGACTGAGCACATTCCGTTATGGCTATATCACATTTTGCTTATGGATTTACCACGTGAAAGACACCTGTGTTGTTTCCATTTGGGGGTGAATATGAATAAAGCCACATATTGTAGAAACAAATATTTATATACAGGGTTTTGTGTGAACCTGTCTTTATTTCATTTGAATAAATACCTAGGAGTGGTATTACTAAATTGCATGTTAGGTGTATGTTTAACTTTATAGAAAAAGATCAAATTGTTTTGGAAATGGAAATGACCAAGATGAGATGTCATACTTATTCCTGATCATAAGTGGGGATGCAACCTGGGGAGTGGAGACAGTAAAGCTCCAGATGCAGAATCTAACCTGTCAACCAGTTCCATAAAATCCATATATTTTTTCCCCATCCTCACTCCTCAGAGGAAGCAGGACATCTTTAGCAGCACACATAAAAGCGTACTGTGCCATGAAGTCTCCCAAGCTCTCCTTTATTCTCAGTTTATTAGGCAGAATGGCTTATCTGAGGAGAAAAGTGGCAATGACATCTGAGATACAGTAATATCAGGAGAACCTCCACTAATTATTTTGCCTATTACCACCTTCTTTTCCTTCCCTTTAGAAGGAAAGATAGGACACTGGGGCAACAGTATTAAGCCTAAAGAGATAAAATTATACAAGTATTAGTTAAGAGGTCATGTTTCTTTACCTAATCATTTCTGAGTAGAAGGAAAAATAAACAGACATGGGACTGGGGATAAGAAGCTAATCCTTCCTACAGTGTGAAATTACTTTTGTCCTATGTCTAAAATATGCAATATGCAAAGTTGACTTCTATTACTAACTACTGACTGATTCATAAATGCTATTAGAGCAGAACAGTGACATGGATAATCCCCCCAACCAGATTTGTCTCGCCTATGGTGATCTGATGCTTATAAAGAAATACACACAAGGGACAAATTATTTGGTGTGCAGAAACCACTCTGGGGATAGAAAGCTGAATAGTAAATAAATTAAGATTTAATATATTAGTCCCTCAAGGCCCTTACTTCAGAGTCCTGTAGAAAGATTAAAAGGAACTTGGAATAAAAGGGAGGTGGGGAGGCAGAAGTGAGGGTGGTATAAGGTTATCCAAGTAGAAGATAACGAGACAGTAAAGATTTTGGAGGGGTAAACAAAAGGTTGCAGTAAAATATGTAACTTTTTCTTCCTGCAAACTGTCTTTGGTGAGGAGCCACAGAATAACTGAGTTTATTAGGGGCAGAGTAAAAACATAAGCAGAAGCAGTGGATTTGTTGGACTTAAGTGATGGATATTCAACATAATACAAAAATGAACTTTTGAACTAAAAAGGTTGAACTTTTCAAACTTTCTGCTCATTCAGAAAGGGTGGCCTTGTGTGACTTGGGTTCCCCCATGACTGTCTGTGTTTAAGACTAAGTGGAATTTCTGCATGGTTGCTGAGTTATGTCTGACTCTTTGCAACCCTATGAACGATAGCCCACCAGGCTCCTCTATCCATGAGATTTTCCAGACAAGAATATTGGAAGGTTGCCATTTCCTCCTCCAGGGGGATCATCCCAAACCCAGGGGTCCAACCTGAGTCTCCTGCTTTTCCTGCACTGGCAGGTGGATTCTTTACCACTGAGCCACCAAGTGGAATTATCCTGTTATAAATGTAGTAAGCAGAATTCATGTACCCTTCATTCTGAAAATTTTTATTAAAAGTTTACTCTGTACAAGGTGCATGCAAGAATATGAAAAAGGATCAAACCTAGATTTTCTCTCTGCTTATTGTCAGTGCAGTGGTTCTTATACTTTCAGGTGTATTCACATTCCCTTGGGGGATCTTGTTAAAATGCAGAATTTGCTTTTGAGATGGCAGAGGTGGGTTCGATTCCTGGGTCAGAAAGATCCCCTGGAGAAGGAAATGGCCACCCACTCCAGTATTCTTGCCTGGAAAATCCCATGGACAGAGGAGCCTGGCGGACTATAATCCATGGAGTCGCAAAGAGTTGGACAGGGCTAAGCATGGGCCTCTGCTTCAACATTTCTAACAAGCTCCCAGATGATGGCAATGCTGCTGGTCCCTGCAACACACACTGAGCAACAAGGGTTTCTAGTAGGTCATTAGACATGCATATAATCATAATACAGAGTGAGAATTAGTAAACACCACAGATATCCCATTAATTCTCAGTAGAAAGCTGAATTTATCCCAAACTGAGGGGTCATTGCCCTTTTCTGCCTTAAGTGTTCCTTCTGATGTTTCTGTTGCTCTCTTCCTTGAATTTTATTTCTTCCAAGGTTGCTCACTGCAAATACTGTTTCTTAGCCTAGAATAGCTTTCTCCTTCTAATTTTGACAATCTGTCAAGATTTGTGTAAATATTCCCTCTTCCCTGGGGCCCCACTCTGACTGCTAAGTACTCCACATAACACTTAGTTTTAACCCCCAGCAATTACCATTATTTCCTTAGCTTTCAATAGCGAGTCCGTTTTCTTATTCCTTACAGGAACTCACCTCTCTGGGAAGCTTGTCGAAAAGATGCTACAAAATGAAAACATTTGGCAAACCTGAGGCCAGTTGAGGAGGCTGAGAAGAAGCCAACGCCGCTCCACTGGGTATGGAGCAGCAGAGCCCAGGAAGGGACCCCAAGTATCTTTTGGGAACCATCCCTTCCCCATGGCAGGTATTTGGGCTCAACCAAGCTCATGATGAAAGTGAAAGAGGAGAGTGAAAAAGTTGGCCTAAAGCTCAACATTCAGAAAACAAAGATCATGGCATCCGGTCCCATCACTTCATGGCAAATAGATGGAGAAACAGTGGAAACAGTGGCAGACTTTATTTGGGGGGCTTCAAAATCACTGCAGATGGTGACTGCAGCCATGAATTAAAAAGACGCTTACTCCTTGGAAGAAAAGTTCTGACCAACCTAGATAGCATATTAAAAAGCAGAGACACTACTTTGCCAACAAAGGTCCGTCTAGTCGAGGCTATGGTTTTTCCAGTGGTCATGTGTCATGTGTGTTGGACTATAAAGAGAGGCGAGCACTGAAGAATTGATGCTTTTGAACTGTGGTGTTGGAGAAGACTCTTGAGAGTCCCTTGGACTGCAAGGAGATCCAACCAGTTCATCCTAAAGGATATCAGTCCTGGGTGTTCACTGGAAGGACTGATGTTGAAGCTGAAACTCCAATACTTTGACCACCTGATGGGAAGGGAAGAGCTGATTCATTTGAAAAGACCCTGATGCTGGGAAAGATTGAAGGCGAGAGGAGAAGGGGACGACAGAGGATGAGATGGTTGGATGGCATCACCAACTCAATGGACATGAATTTGAGTAAACTGCGGGAAGTTGGTGATGGACAGGGAGGCCTGGCGTGCTGCAGTCCATGGGATCGCAAAGAGTCGGACACGACTGAGCGACTGAACTGAACTGATCTGAACCTAAGATTCCGGCGCAGGCTTGCCAGGGACGCTGTCCTGGCCCCGCACTCCGCTGCCTGCGGCACGGGCGCCCCCGCCTGGCGATGGAGGCTGCGCGCGGCGGCCCACCACCGAGCCGGCGGCGGCTAGAGAGGCCGGCTGGCCCCGGGCGCCGTCGCGGCGCGGCCGCAGGGAACGCGCGCGGGGCGGGCCCCGCGCCACTGGTCTTGTAGCCATTTTAGGAGGAAACCCGGCTCGCTAGCCCGGGGCGAGGCTTCAATTTCGATAACTTTATTGGTGGCTTTTTCCGCAGAACAGCCATCGCACCTTTGGTCTCGGGAGGAGGGAGAGCGTCGTGGGAGGTGATTGGGGTGGGGACTCCCCTGGACCGTGAGCGCGGAGGGTGCGGGGGAGTTCCCGAAAGGAGGTTTCTTGAGCAGCCGGCCTCTAGAGGGTTTGGGGGTTCCGGGTGTTCGCGGAGGCCAGGGAGGAAGAGGTTCCCCAGTCGCGGCTTCCCTGGGGCGGGGATTCCCCCGCCTGGTCCCCAGGCGCAGGGGCGGGGCCGGGGGCTCCCCTGACAAGACTGCCGGGGTGTCCCTTGCCCCATGCTGTTCCCTACGGCAGGTGGCCCCCGACTCGAGCTGCACCGCCATGGGAAACACCACCAGCGATCGAGTGGCCGGGGAGCGCCACGGCGCCAAGGCTGCGCGCGCCGAGGGCGCCGGCGGCCATGCTCCGGGTAAGGAACATAAGATCATGGTGGGGAGCACGGACGACCCCAGCGTCTTCAGCCTGCCGGACTCCAAGGTGAGCGTCCCCACGGCCCCAGTTGGTGGCTGTCCTGCAGCAGGCTGGGTGTCAGGGCTCCTCCTCCCTCTTGCTTTTTTCTTACCACACTGACCCGAATTAAGGTTTTTAGAATTAAAGGTGTTGGTTTTTTTTTTTCCCCTGGGGACGGAGATACTGAGTGGTAATTCTTTTTGCGGTACTGCCTCAAAATAGGATAGAGGCGGAGTTCTTGTTACTGGACTCCTCTGTTTGCCACATTTTTAGGATGAGGCCAAGAAACCTCCCCACCCCCACCCCCTTGGTTCTCCTGACCCGCACGGGTGCCCTTTTCTAGAGTATTGATGAATTTGTAGGTTGTGAAAAACTTCAGACTGTAGGTTACCTGAGTTGTGACCATAGGCGGCAGTTTCTCACATCTGCCCTAAGGTAGGCAGGTGACTTACTTTTCCCTGAACACTTCTGCTTCTTTGTATTAGTCTCATTTTTGCCCTTCTAAGAGATCAGCACTTCAGATCCTCTTCCCCTTTGGCATGACTGTGAGCAGCAACCCCTTGCTTATATGAATACTTTTTCCTAGTCTTGGGGATCAATAAAAGACATTATTTGGTTGACTGCTGTTTTCATCTCATAGTTTATAGTTGTTGTGGCTGAGGTGCTTTTTTTCACGTCCAGCTACTTCTTAAGTGGGAGAGCAGATAATTTTAGGATTTCTTCACTTCCCGATAGTACTTCATAATATTACCAAGCTGAAAATGGACAACCCACAGTTTCCCTGAAGACCTGGCTGTCAGTCTAGGACTTTCGGGAAAGTGGCAACTTGTGTTCACCCTGCAGAAAGGATAGATGGAGCTGACCGCAATGAAATTACATCCGAATGTTTCTAATCACTTTTAGAGCTGTCTGCATTAAATACATTAATTCTACCTGGTAGTCTGACTGGGATGAAGTAGAAAAATGGAGGGATTGAGGAGATTGGGGTGTGTTTGATGTTATCACTCATCCCGTGCCACACATCTGAGGTTTTATTCTATTTACTCTTGTAAATGTGTGTGTGTGTTAGTCATTCATTCATCTCCGACCCTTTGCAACCCCGTGAACAGGCTCCTCTGTCCATGGGATTCTCCAGGCAAGAATACTGAAGTGGGTTGCCATTCTCTTTCCAGGGGATTTTGCCGATCCAGGGATTGAACCTGGGTCTCCTGAATTGCAGGCAGATTCTTTACCATCTGAGCCACGAGGGTAAATAGAGAGTAATTTCGCTGGGTTGATAACACATGAAATGTGGATTCTGTTTTATTTTCTTGGATCCCAATTGAAAACATAATCACAAAGAGAAGTGAAGGTGATTTCTTGGGGTTTCTTCTCTGTTCCTTTCTTCCTTCTTCCACTTCAGGACTTCTTCCTCAACGCTTGGGCTGTCTCCCCAGCCATCTGAATTTACTTCTTCAAAGCTTTCTCAAGGTGATTGTATTTTTATCCATTTCCTACACTGATGACTCAGGATTTAAGTACTGTGTACTTGTCAAACTGTGACTGCAGTAATCGGTGTCCTGAATAAAAGCCAGGTTGCTCTATCTGAAATGGAGCCTGTTTTGGATCTTTCTTTCCCTTACCTCAGTCTTGCCATTTGTGAAATAAGATTGGTTCAAATAATTCCCAAGGTCATTTCCAAATCTAAGATTTTACAATTGCTCAGTTTATTCTATTTCTTTCCTCAGTGTTTCACTTAAACAGTTTTCAATTGTAATTCTAATTGTTTTGCCTCTTTTCCTGATGATTTTCCTGAGTATTTAACTTGGAGTAAACAATCTTTCTGCTTGTCAGCTGCACTGATGCCTACCACAGAAATGTCATAACATACGTGGAAGGGCTTTCTTCCAAAGCTAGGCATATTAATAGTTTGTAGCTTTCAAATTCTAAAATAATAAAACATACAAGTAAATGATAGAAACAGTGGCAGATGGGCCTGTATTGCTTCAAATGCCACCCTTCTTCAGTGGACTAGTTCAATGATTTTCAGTCCTATTTGCACATTAGACTTAGCTGGGATTTATTTAAACATTTCATGGAAAATCTGAAACATTTGTCCATGTTTCAAAGTCAGGAGAACAGTGTAATGAATCCTATATAACTGTCATCCAGTTTAAACAATGATCAAATCATTAATGAATTCATATCATCTATACCCCAATCCACTCTACCCTCACCAATTATTTTTAAGCAAATCTCAGACCATCATATCAAATATTACTCTATCTGTAAGTGTTTTAGGATGTATCTCTAATGATGAGATTTCTTTCTTTATTTTCAACATTAAATTTTAGTATTATTGTCTGGGAAGCTTCTTAAAAATAGATTCCCAGGTTCTATATCTGAATCAGAATCTGAGGCATATGTAATTGTTAGGAATGTAAAAATTTCTATAATTCTAATCCAGACTGTCAGACGAGCTCATTGCTTTGAGAAAATGGAGATCAAGTTTTTCTCTTAAGTCACTTCCTTATATAATGTGAAAGTTCCTTCAGTTCTCTTTGTTTACTAAGGATTATGTTGCTGGTAATGTCTCATACTGTAGTTTTGAGGAATATTCAGAGACAGTATGAAAGGTAGACTGCCCCAGCCATTTTGAAAGTAAAGTGCAAGTGAATAAACTAGTCTTTTTTTTTTTAACCCCACATTATTTTATTTGGTATTAATACTATTTTGACTTGATACCATAAAGACTTATTTACCAAAGTCATTTAAGCCACTCTAAAGGGTGGGTCAACAAACTTTTTCTGTAAAGGGCCAGATAGTAAATATTTTAGACTTTGTGGCAGACCATACAGTCTCTGTCACTGATATTCAGTTCTGCCATTGCAGCATGAAAGCAGCTATAGAAAATAAGTGAATGAATGTGGCTATTTTCCAATAAAACTTTATTTATAAAAGCATCTGGCTCACTGGCCATAGTTTGCCAGTTTTTGTTCTAAAGGACAGTAATGAAAAGAAACTTGACTAAGGAGTCAGTTTTCTTCTGCAACCCTACATACCTCATTTGATATTGGAACCACTTTTTTAAAGGAAACTGTGTTTTTGATCTGATGCTTCTTGTAGCTCCACAATTTTCGTTCCTACTCCTGAAAATTACTAGTATAAGCCTGGCATAGATGAAATAAGTAAGATTTCATAACTATTTCTCAAAATTTAGGAAACCAATGATCTGATATTTATATATTTAATGTCTTTTTATAACCTATTAACTAAAGAGGAGATTATGAATTATTTAAGAATTTTAGTATCTCTAATTTCTATTACAACTGATAATTGAGATGCTTATATATACATATGAAAATTACATAGCTTAGGACTTCCTTGGTGGTCCAGTGATTAAAACTCTGTGCTTCTGCTGCAGGGGTGAGGGTTCGAATCCTTGGTTGGGGAACTAAGATCCTGCATGCTGCATGGCACAGCAAAAGAAAAAAAATAGATGACTAACTTAATTATTTTTTGTAGAATCATGCTTTATTTTCATATTTTTTCTCTTAAGAGAGAAGCATGTCGTGATTGTCTGCCTATGAGTTAATCTGGTAACAGGAAGTCAGGTTTTTTGTTTGTATTTTAAGGGAAATCCTAAGGCTCTGAAAGGATGAGTGATTCATGCAGACTCAGAAATTAGGCTATGATTTGGGCAGACTTTGAGCATAAGCCATTTGACCATTTGGGTCCTAGATGAGTTTCTTTTCTATAGTTTTGTTCAAAATTTGATGTAGTTGCTCATTTCAAGACTTATTAATCCTTATCAGAAATGTAGCACCCCTCTCTGCCCTAAGGAGGAGAGTGACCTTTTCAAAATTCCAGGGTCACAATTTAGGGATGACCTAATCCTTCTTACAGCTCCCTGGGGACAAAGAGTTTGTATCATGGCAGCAGGATCTGGAGGACTCCGTAAAGCCCACACAGCAGGCCCGGCCCACTGTTATCCGCTGGTCTGAAGGAGGCAAGGAGGTCTTCATCTCTGGGTCCTTCAACAATTGGAGCACCAAGATTCCACTGATTAAGAGGTGAAGACAAGTGTCTTGGTTGAGTCTACTGGGTCCAGTAGTAGAGACCCAATTTCCTTTCTCAGGAGAGAGACTTGGCTAGACTACTCCTCTCCACCTGCTAGGGACTCTCTCTAGAACATTTTTTGTGACCAGTAACTATATCTGTGACATTTTTTTTTAACCTTATAGTGAGTCAGAGATGTTGTACCACTTAGAATGTCATTGCCTCAGAGGCACTTGTAACAGTTTCGTAGGTATGTTCTTTAGGATTGTGTTAATAGAAGTCTTTCTATGCTTGTGGGAAGTCTCCCGTAACTGCCTGAGTCCAGTTGCCCTGACTTCTGCACTAAACAAAACACACTGTAAAGTTCTAGGTAGTAATGTTATTTGTTGCTTGCAGAGCAACAGTGAATTATGTAACTGACTATGGCCCTTTGTATGTAGGTAATTTTCTAGAAAATGCTCACCAAAATGTGGAAAGAGTACCTTGAGGCACTTCTTATTCTGAACCTACTCGCTATCTTTTTTACACTCCTGAGGGATATGTTCTGCTGAAGCAAAATAGTTGTACTAAGGTGAAACATTCTGGGGGAGTAATATCTTTATTGTTCTTTTCCAGATATTAGTTACAAATTAAAGTTATTAGGAAGGCTAGCAAATACATGCTCAAGGGGATATAGAAAAGGAGAGTGGGTTTATAAATTATTTTTTTACTCCAGGGGGTGCAATCGCTTAGGAATGTGGGACATCACTGGTATGATACTGTGATTGCCTCATGGCTTTTACATTTATCTTCTGTCTTGTAATAAGAATTTAGTCTGTTTAACTTTCTGTTTTCTTCTGTAGCCATAATGACTTTGTTGCCATCCTGGACCTCCCTGAGGGAGAGCACCAGTACAAGTTTTTTGTGGATGGACAGTGGGTTCATGATCCATCAGAGGTAAGACCTTGACCTCCGAGGGTAACCACTGGCTTAACAGTCTCCTTTTAGCTATCATTCCGCTGGGTGTCAAATATCATTGCTGTTGGATTTCCCTGTTGATAAAAGATGGTGGTGCCAAGTATAATCCCTTCTAAAAAGAGGAGAGTTGAATAGATGAGGTGTATTTGAAATGGGGATTCATGAATTTTTTTTTTTTTTCCCCATTCACTGTTTCAGCCTGTGGTTACCAGTCAGCTTGGCACAATTAACAATTTGATCCATGTCAAGAAATCCGATTTTGAGGTGTTTGATGCTTTAAAGCTAGATTCAATGGAAAGCTCAGAGACATCTTGTCGAGGTAATTTTGTAGTATTTGCTCTTTCTTGATCTTTCCTTTCTTATAATGCATGTTTCTTCCCAAGAGTGGTTTTTGTTTCTTTCATTTTCGACTTAGGAATCTTCCAAATTCTATGTATATGTTTCTCCTATAAACATTTAGGTCATATTCTCTGAGAATGAAATCTGTGTATGTATTTTACTTCACAGTAAGTGAAAGTAAATATATTTGATCTACATTAAATTTACATTGTAACCCAACACACACATCACACAAACCAGTAACATGTCTTGCACTATAATGTTTGCCTTTATTACATGTGAAGCACTTTATTTTCTACTTTATTCTTCTTTTTATAAACGACTAATGTGCTGTGATCTATAGTTTAAGAAGCTATTTCTAATAATATTTCAGTTTTTTCATTGACCTTTGACAATATCAACTAGCAGGGGCTACTTATGTTTCCCTTGCCTTGTTTAGCTGCCTCAACTTAATCCTGCCAGATTGATAGCTTAGTTGGCAGTTGTATATTTAATAGGCCCTACATATATGGCAATCTTTGGGGAAAAGAGTTATAAAAACCTCAAATTTCTTTTGTGTATATGTTAACTGAAATTTTTAAAGTTTTGGGTTAAAAAAAAAATCCTCAATAGAGGAAAAGACCTATATCCTTTTGTTTCTCCCAGTATTTTTTCCAAGGCCTTCATCTCTACTTATGTTGGCTATAACACCAGAAAAGTGATTTGCCGTCCACATTCACAGTTACCAGTTTGGTTACTTTACGGTAAAGACTGTGAATGTCTAAAGAACTGTGTTCCCAGTAAGCAAACTTCTCCCTTGTGAGTTCAAAACCTGCCTCTGCTACTAACTAGCTTTCCCATTATGGGAGAATCCTTCAACATTTTTAGTTTTCAAAGTTTCTTATCAGTAAAATCAAAGGCTTAAACTCTCAGCTGAGGAGACACAGTGCCTGAAGTGAGACATATTAGAATCTCAGGACAGAAGGGTAGCTTATGCAGAATAATTTCTAAGAGAATAATCAATAGTATAATAATTGCTTAGAAAAATTACAGATATTGTTTTCATTACATAAGGTCAGAAAGTAAGGCTGGACATTCTTCTTAACTGGTGGGGCAGAGATTAAAAAGAGATTAAAAAATACCAAATTAAATATCAAGGTGACTATGACTAAATTTTTGCATTATATGAGTCTAACAAAGCAACCAGTGAATAATAGACATCTAATCATAATTATAGAGAGAGAAGACTAGCATACTGTTGATATTCCTCCTTTCCTTCTTTCACCCAATTTCCTGATCCTCTGAGGTAAGGTTTAGAATACATTTTATTAGGAATCTTGAGTTTAATCTGCACTCTGTGACCATCTTGCCATGTATGTGACTTTAGCTAAATGACTTTACTATTTTTTTTTAATGAAAAGGGAAAAAACACTGTTCTGTGTACTTACCAAGAGTATTTTTGTAGTTCACATGACAAAATAACAGAGTACTTTGAAAAGTGTCAAGTTGTATATGTTTTTAAGATATTGTTTAATATAACAGTATTTTTGCTACTTTTCTTTTGCCCCACATATAATTGAATTCTGAGTTCTTATGTTGAACTGGTTAAAATCCTTCTTACTAGGAACTGCAAAAAATATTAAGCAAAAAATTATAGTTCTTCTCATTTTTGTGTATTTCTGTTCTTATCTGCATATACTTTTCCCATTTTTTAAAGATTTAATTTCACATGCCATAAAATTCACTCTTTTAAGGTGTACAGTTAGATAATTTTTAGTGTATTCACAGAGCTGTGCAACCATTATCACTATCTAATTCCAGACCATTTTAATCACCCCCAAAAGAAACTCCATTCCCATTAGCAGTTACTTCCCATTCCTTGCTTCTCTCCACCTCTGGCATCCCTAAATTATTTTGTGTCTCTATGGATTTTCCTCTTTTGGACTTTCATATAAATGGGATTATACACTTTGTGATCTTTTGTGCCTGGCTTCTTTAACTTAGCATAATGTTTTGAGGGCTCAGCCATGTTTTAATATGTATAGGTACTTCATTCCTTACAACTGAATTAAATTCCGTTGTATGGGTATACCATTTTGTTGATCCAGTCATTTAGCTGATGGACACTTGGACTGTTCCACTTTTTGTATGTTACAAGTGATGATGTTATAAACATTTATGTTCAAGTTCTTTTGTGGACATCTGTTTTCATTTCTCTTGGGTAAGTGGCCCAGGAATATAATTGCGGATCATATGGTAACTTTGTGCTTAACTTCTGGAGGAACTGCTGTTTTCCAAAGTGGCTTCACCATTTTACATTCCAGCCAGCAATGGGAGCAGCAGAGGTTCTCGTTTCTCCACATCATCGCCAATAATTATTATTGTCTGTCTGTTTTTATTATAGCTGAATTAATGAGTGTGATGTGGTATCTTATCAGAGTGTGATGTGGTATCTTAGTTTTAACTTGTATTTCCCTAATGACTACTACATTGTTAGTCATTTTTCCTCGTTGTTACACTCATTGTAGTATCAGTAGTCCTAGAGTTTATAACATTTATTGTTGCTTGAGTGGGAAAAAGAAAAATCTAATATTTTCATATTGTTTAATAGTTTTTAAGGCATTGTCACATCTGTTGTCTCATTTGATTCCTATAAAAACACTGTGAAATAGGGCAGAAATTGTTGTTTTCATTTTATGAATGAAGAAACTGATTATAGTAGAGAGATTTGTCCCAAGTCATACAGTTGATAAACGGAGTAGCTCTCCCCTGAACCTACATCCTTATCTCTTCCCCTGTCCTCCAGTCGTGTTGCCATGTTGAAGAACTTCATGTTTTATGTTCAAGATGACCCAGAGTTTTTCTTTGCCTTATAGTTGTAGACCCAACAAGTCACAAGTTTATGATTCTTGACTTCTACCATATTTAATATTACCTGCCATGTATTGACAGTTTTTTCATGCATCTTTATTAGCTGTCCAACTTTCCTTTATATTTGAATAAATATCTTCCAGACCTTTCCAGCTCACCTCCAGGGCCTTATGGTCAAGAAATGTATGTGTTTCGATCAGAGGAGAGATTTAAATCCCCACCCATCCTGCCTCCTCACCTTCTCCAAGTTATTCTTAACAAGGACACTAACATATCTGTGAGTATTCTAAAAATATTGCCGGGGCATCTGAGGGTTACTAGAATCATTTGAGCCAAAGTGTAGTAATCTTAGAGGTTGGGATCATTACAAAGGTCTGTTGAATATGAATCATGTATGTATCAGTATCATTACAGGTTCCTTTTTCCAGGGCTGAGTTGTGACTTTTCCAAGTACTGATATCAAAATTCATAGTTTTCTTCTGGTCCTAATGTATCAGCTCAGAGCTGTGGATTGCTAGAAACAGTTTCTAAGACTTTTATTCCAACATAAGTATTTATCATTTGGTGATATCCAAAAGAAGCATATTTTGCACATAATTTATATTTCTAGTCAATTCACTTGATTCCCACTAAGATTATTTTTGCCTCTTAACACAAACCTTCCATATGTGTTATGGGTAAGGTCTATTAAAAAGAGGATGAAATAGGTACTGAAGCTTAGAGTTTCTGCCTGGGACTCAGAATTTTTGTGATTTTTCTGTGATGAGAATATATTATTGATGTATACTAGAATAAGTGAATTATTTAAAAGAAATAATACCTTCTAGTTTTGAGTTTCTCAACAGTTCCAAAGATCTTTGAGGAAGAATAAACTGTTTGGTTTAAGATTGTACATTTAACCCCATTTAGTCTTTTTTTTTTTTTTTAAACAGTGTGACCCAGCCTTGCTCCCCGAGCCCAATCATGTCATGCTGAACCATCTCTATGCATTGTCCATTAAGGTAAGTGGTGGGCCTGCTTCTTCACATAGCTCCCAGAAACAGGAGGGCAAGAGTTGAACACACGTTCTCTAGTGGTTTGCTGAAGCTGGCAGTAATGGTCCAATTATAGGAGAAGAACTTTCTTTTTTTTAACCAAAGGATGAGTTTGTTTATTCTAAATCTTAGTCTTGATATCCGAGTTCTGGCTAGCTGAATTGCCCTGTGATTAAATGGACTTTTTGTTTCTTGGTTTCTTTCTGGGTAGCTATAACCTTTGCACCACCTATTTAATTAAGTGTGAGTTCATAGTAAGTACTAGGATTTCATTTGCATAAAAAGCAAGTTTACTTTCCAGTTCAAAGAATGTTTAAATCTGATATTAAGGCCTCCGGTTTTTAAAGGTGCACATGACCTGCTCTCAGGTGCCTGAGTCCTATATACCCCAGTGCTTGCATCTTTCCTATACACTACTTAAAGGAGAAATGTGACCAGACTTGCCCTGTGCACCGCCAACCCCACCCCCACCCCCACCCTGCCACTCCCCAGCTCTTAGAATGCTTCTTGGTTTCTTGGAATGCTTCTTGATTTCTCTGCTGCTTTAGATTCTGGATTGAAAATATCTGTTCAGTCCTGTAATATCTTTGTGGTCTGGCTCTTGGGATATCTTATATAGTTCTGTAGTTACCAAACTAAGCTGAGCATCAACAGAATTACCTGGGGGAAGTTTGTGAAAATACAGATTCAGAAGCTCTATCCCCAGGGATTCTGAGTAAGTGCATCTAGGATGGGCCTCACTAATTTTTTTAAGTTGCTTATGTTTCTTAGATATGCAGCCAGATTAGGGAAATCACTGATACAGCTGTCTGTAACAGATTATGAGGTACTTATAAACATATATTATTGAATTTAATTTTCCTAATAAGCTTGTGAGATTAAGTATTATTTTTAACTCCTGTTTTAGAGATAAAGAAACTAAGGCTCAGAGAAGGTCACATTGCCAGTTAGGACCAGAGAGAGGACTGAGGTCCTGTTCTCCTATCCTCATTCCATGTTCTTTCCTAGAGATTATGGTGCTGGTTTTTCGAAGTAGGTCTTTTTGTCACCTGCTCCTCATTTCTACCAAACTCTTTCTGGAGTTAAATTTTTTACCTGCTTTGCTTCTGTCATGTTTAGGCTGTGATCTGTTTACTGTGGTCACAGAATGTCAATCTGGTAAGTATTCATTGTGGATGATACCTATCCCTGGTTCTGTTTAAGCTGTTTGGAATTGCTTCATTGGATGGAATGTCTTTCCAAGGAGGATTTTAGGGTCTACTTTGTTCAAGGATAGAAGATGATTGCTGAGTCCCCTCTTGATCAGTGAGGATGTTTTTTAAGTCCAACCCCAGATACTCAATGGAAATTAGACCTGTTTTGGGGCTTGGAAATGGTTTTTCAAAAGGATCACTGCCGTTTCTTCTCATTGCTTTTACAACTTCCTTCTGGAAATGAATTGTCACAATATTTCTTTTTTTCCATGATAGTTTTAAGCCAAATATTTGAATTTGAGGTGGAAAAGGAAATGAGGTAGAACACTAATATTTCTTTAGCACCTATTTTCTGTCAGATTCTGTGTTGGATATTTTCATGTAATCATTGGAGCCATCTTAATGGTGGGTATTATCCTTTGTAATGAAGAAAAAAGACTTGGAGACAGGAGTCGGATACAGCTTAGCAACTGAACAACAACAACAAAGTAATTACTCAAGGTCACAGAGTGTAACAGGGGGTGTCAGGATCAAAACAAATTGATTTGACTCCCAGACCACCTTTTTTTGATAATATCGAAGTAACTCTGTTTAAAGTGAACAACTGTGAGGGATAAATGGCTGGGAACAGCTGTCTCCATCCTCAGCTAGTGAATTAACTGCATGTGTTTATTTCCCTTGCAGGACAGTGTGATGGTCCTTAGTGCAACCCATCGCTACAAGAAGAAGTATGTCACTACTCTTCTGTACAAGCCCATCTGAGGGATCCCTTCCTGCCTCCCAGGATTCAGGAGAAGCATCTCCCTTGCCTTTCTGGACTGGACCAGTCTTAGCTGGGACTGGAAGGCTGATTTGCTTTGAGGCTAATATGTATGTTTCAGTGCCTCTGAGTAGGATGCTCTGCTTTTGCATTTGATTGCAGATGAGAGCTTTATGAGTTTATGGAATTTATTTTAACATAATATATATATATATATACATATGAAGGGAAAGTTAATGGAAGCCTCCTAGCTAGATGTATTCTCCCTGCCTATGGGAACTCACCAAGACCTGTTTGGGAGAGCTTCAGGAAGAGCCATTACAGGAATCTTTTTTCCTAACATGAATGAAGAACACACTCTCAGGATCCTTGTTGGGTGGGGATTCTATCACTGCTACTACCTTGGCTCTCCAAGGAATGGACTTGTGCCAGGCTGCTGCCCTACTTAGAGCTGCCTCCTTGCAGGAGCAGCTTTTCTTGCATGGGTTCTCTGTATTCCCAGAGAATGTGGCACAATCTGTGCTTTTTAAAATGATACCAGATGGCCCATAAGAACCCTTTTCCTTTTCATTTCACATTCTTGCTTTGTTAGCCTCCTTCAAATCCTATACCTGACCCTTCCCTAGCACAGAACTTGGTGGGTAAGTGACCCCTTTCAAAGGCTTTGTGAGACCTGACCCACCTCACAGACTAGGGCTGCCAGGATGTCTCCTTTTTAAGCCAGCACAGGCCCATGACACTTTGTTACCACTTACTTTAACTTCTACTGAAGAAACTGGCTTAGTATGATGTGAAAGGCAGAATGCGGAAGGTTTCCTTTCTTGTTCTGGTTTGGTGCCACGGTTAAGGCTGTATCGGCACATTCCCATGCTTTTTCCCACCTGGTTTGGCCCTGCTTCCATGTTTTCTTTCACAGAGCAGACAGCTTTGAAGGTGAGAGTAAAACTAGTGAAAACTTTCATGTCTTTTGTCCTTGGAAGATTTTTATGTGCCTATATTTTTCTTTTCTCCAAAAAATGCCCTTTCATTGGTCTAAAGAGACTGCTTTTGGAGAACTTCAAGCTTTTGATAAATAGCTCACTGTATTTTCTTCTCTAGTCTAGCCCTCTACAATCATACATTAATGAGGCTGACTCTGGGTACATCATTACAGTAGACATTGTTCTAGATACAGGCCCATTCAGGCTCATTTTGTGCACCTAAAAGTTTCCTTCAATTTAACGATTCATTACACCAAGAAGCAAGAAATTACCCTTGGTAGTCTCAGCAATGAAAAGTATTGCTTTCATGTGCTAAATGCTAACAGTTGTCTTGTTCTTCTGTATCTTTTCCCAAAAAGTGTTGATGATGAAGAGGAGTCAGTGATTTTCATTTGTGGAGTAAAACATTTCTATTCAATCCACTCTTGAGATTCAGAGATAAGATATTTCCCCCTAAGTTTCTGTGGCTCTTACATTACAAATAAATGCAAGCCAAACATTCAGTACTGAAGGAGGCCAGATTTGATGCTTGAGAGGCTCCTTGAGATGAGCCCAGTCCCACTGAAAGGGTACCCACATGTCAATTAGCTACCTCCTCTCTTTCCCATGTAAACTTGATGACATAGTTGTCTTTGGGTATGTAGAACTCTTAGATCATCTGTGAGCAGTATGGTATGGGATTGCTGTCTTGCTGAGAATGCATATTGCTAAGTGCTTTGGTGGTTAATTGCTGAGAGTAAATACTGCTTTAGCCACTCGAGGCCACTCTACAGCAAAATGCTTTTGTGGAGAACGTTTTATGGTTCTAGTCGCTTTTAGAATGGTGTGCCATTCTAAAATTCTGTTAGAACCAACTGTCAGGATCTATACTGTCTTCAGTTATACTAGAATTTTGTATTTTTCTAATACCCAGTAAACAAGTGAATCACTTAGGATTTAAAATCTTGCTACATGGAAGATTTTGTTGTACTTATATGTCTTCTCAACGGTATTATCATGTAATCATCCATGTGTTCATGTATTAAAATTTCTATTCTGCACAGATACATCATTAGCGTGGGGTAGGAAAAGAGATTCCTCCCATTTTTCTCAGGCCAGAGGCTTCTATGAAATGAATGGGTCTGTCTTTAGCAACAGCAGGTTTTGGTGTTGGTGACCTTCCAATCCTTCTAATCTGGAAATGTCCAGAAGGTGTCAGTTTTCCAGATTCTGAGGTAATGAATCTTTCAGCCAGATATGAGATGGGAGCCTACCAGCAGTTTTGGAAAGGGAGAGATACGAGGGACTGGACAGACTTACTCAGCCCTGTCCCTTCTCTGTGCTGCTGATAACATCCCATGGCCTCGATAATTCCTATCATGCTGTCCTCAGTCTGCCTCCAAGAAACTGTTCTAGAAGGCTGAAAGGGGAGAAGGAAAGTACCCCAAAGTATAGCTCACTCATTCTTTTATATTGGTTAAAAGGATAGTTTATTTTCTGCAGAAGAATTTGACAAGAATTTGAAAATGAATAAAGAGTAAAAAATTGGGGTTTTTTTTTGGTTGGTTGGTTGGTTGGTTAGCTTTTGCCTATAAGAGTTTCACAGAGTCAAAAAGTAAGAATGTAACTCTTTGAGGGGGCTGACTATTAAAGAGCTGTATCATGGTATAGGAGTTGTGGGAAGCAGAGTAACTGAGCCGAGGAGTGATACTAGGAAAATTAAGGCTTAAGTAACCCAGAACTAGAAATATCCTTTTAAAAATTAAATCAGACACATCCTGGTGTCTTTGGATCTCACTGTATAGAATTTACCATATAAAAAAAATCTTCCCTTTGTCTCTTGTTTCTGTTTTCTACACTTTCTTCTATATTGTGCTTTAACTTCATGTGTCAGGCAAACTTTACAAGGGTCTTAAGTCAAACGTTACCTAAAGCAAACACTAGTCATCTTGTTGTTAAGGAAGATGTGTCATGGAAGGAAGAGCATCTGTGTCAGGATTATTAGCTTGCTTTAAGATTAGAGTTGAATGGGATTTAATCACTAGGCAAAACCCCTGAAGGGTATCTGGCCTCAAGAGTGTTGGCTTTAAAAGGAAACAATGGTTATATATGGTAGAGAAACCCTATAAAAGAATTCAAGAGAAGTTTCTGACAGGATCCTATAAACCCAGGCCCAGTCACTTCACTCTGATTATTTCTAGTCTCTTGTGCCTAATGGATCTGAGATAAAAAATTTTTGAAAAGTGTTGGTACTCCGTGTATGCTGCTAAAATGAAGTTAAGTTGAGAAAGAAGTTTTACCTCTAGACTGGGCTTATATTAATCTGGGTATAAATGAAGGAGACGTATTAATGACAGACTCCCCTGCTTTTAATTGGGGAAATAGGGCTTTTAAATTTTTGACCTCAACTGAAAGTTATATGCAATAGTCTATGTTTGTGTATGTTTGCAATGTGTTCTATTCTCAGAGCTCTCTAAATCTTCACGTTCTAGTGATTTGGGGCATAGATTTAAGAGCAGATACACCATTGGTTCCTGCGTTATTCTGACTCATTCTTAAAGCTGAGTCCTTGCTGTCTTTTACTAGGAACTGCTGACTCTAGTTACCCATGGGATGGAGGACCTGGGAGGGATAGGATTTAGGGTCTTTTAAAACTCTGGAGCTAGGCATTTGTCTTTTCTTAAGCATCGATCACAATTGGAGGTTGAAGGGCTGTCATTTCTGCAATGAACTGGAACTTTCAGAGTAAAAAGGCCAAATCTTTAAAAATTATTAAAAAAAAAGCAGCAGAGGAAAAGGCTCTAAGAGTCTGTTACTTATGAAATACGGTTCTTGGCAATGAAATCCCTCCAGGATTCAAATTTGGGCTTTGTCTTGATTTGCTTTACTCAGTTGTGCTTTGAATTGAATAAATTATTTAAAAGTTAAATTTTGTATTAGTTCCAACATGAGTTGAATTTTATGTAGCATAGTGCTTTTGCAGTATGACTGGTGTGAAATACTGAATACTCTGTGGATTTTGTAGTCAGGTTAAATGACTGAGGAGTACCTACCCTAAGTATTATGTACTGATCATCTAACTTCTTTTCTGTTCCCATCTACAGAACACCTACCCAGGTTGTGGTTTTAGAGCAGCCAAAGCTCACTAATGTTGATTAGTCCTAATCTCCACACTGGGCCTCATATGTGAAACTTGCTTAAATTTTGGTAAATTTTAGAATGTTGGTTGTTACTTCACCAAAGCACTTTGAATGAATACAGCTTTGTTATAAAGGGGGAATAAGACTATAATTTGAAGGGAATTAAATATGTCAGTCCTCCTTTAAATGGTGCTTTTTGTAATCTTTAGTGCTGAGGGACAAAGCTGCTTTTCAAAATTTCACAAAGGAGTGGCTTACAAGAATGGATTTTAAAGCTTTTCTCCAAATGTAATTTGTCACTGGATTCTGACATGTCTGAAAATTATGTGATGTAATACATACTGAAATGTGAGTTTTTTCCCCCATAAAACTGTTGAATAAAAGTTTATACAGCAATAATATTTGAGTTCTTCATCAATTACTGATTTTACCATCAAGATGTATCTGTCCAGGTAGCCTCAGGACCTAAAGAATGTAAATTGCCACATGGATATTTTTAAATAAAGAGAAATGTAATAGGTATATGGGACACATGATATCATTCCTCTTCTTTTTGACCCAGGCTCTGCCAACATTAACTAGAGGAATGCAAACGCTGATTTGATTTTTAGCACTTTCTGTACACTGCACACTTAGCTGTCATCCTGTCCTGGATTAGCCTAATGGTTTTCATCCCTGGCCACACATTAATATTACCTGTACAGATTCTATAAAAATACTGATGCCAGTCTCCTACTTTGTTTATTGTTTAGTCGCTATGTTGGGTCTGACTCTTGTGGCCCCATGGACTGCAGCCCACTAGGCTCCTCTGTTCATGGGATTTCCTAGGCAAGAAAAATGGAGTGGGTTGCCATTTCATTCTCCAGGGGGACTCAGGGACCAAACTTTTGTCTCCTGCATTGG